CGAGCATAGCACTCTCCATATTTTGCTAAACTTCCTCATACAGCCAACAGTGTAGGACTCAACACTGGCAACTTGAAACACAAAGCACTATTCTATTATTACTTATTTATGTTTTGTATATTATTAATATTTTTACTATATATCTCTGAATATGTTATATAACTTCAATTATATATATTGCAACAACCACTTAAACACATATTTCCAATAGACGACATTCTAAGTACGCAATATCAGTTCCAGAGTTTCATTAGCTTTCCACTCGTGATTTCCCTGAGGACTATACGAATGACGGAATGATGCGTTTCGAATATCTCCTTTATCCGCCAAAGATTATATTCAGATTTCACATTACGCTATTAGCTCTGTTTAATCTGATTAAAATATTTTTCATGTTATTCGAACGTTACCTGACAGGAAAGGAATTAAAATTGATTTTAGCATCGATAAAATAAAACAACTCATCTTTACTTTACAGTAGGTATTTTATTTTTATTTTTATGTCTTATCTGTTGTAAAGAAATCAAGGTTAGATTTTTATATTGATATGATAGCATTTTTGCAATTAATAATATTATATAAGTAGTTTTATACATTGTAGAGTCACGCTGCAGCTATATTATCGTTGCATCACGCTCTCAAAAATAAAATAGAAAATTAATTCTGTTGTAACCTGTACAGGGAGTGTAGAGAACCGGAAATCCTTTTTAACTGGAAACGAGGCATTCCATCTTAGTCTTCAGGGGTGGCAACGCATCTGCTATTTGATTCTAGAGGATGGATGTAGAAGTCTATTGAGTGCAGCACTTATTTGCCATCAAGTGAACTGTGTGCTTGTTGTCAGTTGTCAGTTGTCACTCTTATTTTATAAAAAGGGTGGGAACGCAACTGAATTCTGTTTCTTAATTAAGTTTAGATGTACATAGATGTCTGTAGACCACAGCATCCACTTACCATCGATTGGACTTGTTATCCTTTTTTTTAATTGGAGACAATGAGGTATTTCTAGGTTTTCCAATACTCGTCTCTTACGACACTCACTTATAACATACGCCCTAATATTAACGGGCATTGCTGTCTAATCTGTACGCCAAGGTTTCACTTTAAATGTTAGGTAGCTTAGCATTTTATCGCATCTACCACGGGGAGTGCTCTGAAGAATTGTTCGGAATAATTCCAGCCGCACAATTTCACCATACCATCTGGATGACTGGCGGTCCACCACCGTGTGATTTCAAAGAAGTTTTCTTCCTCGCACAACTTTCTTGTGGAATCGGCTACCACCAGAGATTTTCCAGACCGATACTACTTATGGACTTTCAAGAAAAGAACCTACTCCTTTTTAAAAGGCCGGCAACGCATCTGCAATTCCCCTGGTGTTGCAGTTTTTCATGGGTGGGGCGGTAATCACTTACCATCAAGTGAGCCGTATGCTTGTTTACGCTCTCTCCTATAAAAAAGGTATATCTTGAAAAGTTCCTATAACTAAATATTATTTAGCCCGATGACGTTGATGTTGATAAATAGAATATAAAATCATTTCTATTGATCGAATTAATTATAAACCTCTGGCAACATTTAGAAACACTCAATTGAACCGAACAGAAATATCATCCAGTTCTATAGGAGGTTGATTACTTCTGAATGAAGTTGTTAACTATAAACGGATTAACGGCGTTCATCTCATCAACAAACATTTTAATATTGAAAATATTTAACAGAGCTTAATTTATAATATGTTATGAATTGCAATTGGGTAAATTATGTTTTATATTCGAATTGCAAGATATGTAATATATAAAATTAAGTAAATATCAACGTTTAATATACTTTTATTGTATTATAACAATTAAATCATATTATAAACGTTAAAAAACGAAATTTAACACACGTATTTTCCAACTAAATACTATTCACTAAATATTACATTGCATGGGGTATGTTCCGCAAAGTATATAACATTTATTTTGGATATAAATTACCAGGTATACTGATGTTCTGATCGAATTTTAAGGGATTAATAAAATATTAAAGTCTTCATGTATTCGTAATTTGTGACTTTTTATTTAGGAGCTTTGGCCTAATCTGACCCTGTGACAGACGACAGCGCCGCCACATTCTAACTATTTCTACCACCCAACCATTACAGCCTATAAAAGCACATTGCCGAATGTAGAACTCCTGTTTTTGGAAAGCGATATTTTTTACTCTTTTGAGTTGTTATCAGGAAGATGTTGCTGCCCATCACCTGTGTCAGTTTCCCTCTGTCGCTTCTTACGACGCCTATGGGATGATATGAGGTGTAAATATATACATACATACATATATATATATATATATATATATATATATATATATATATATAACTTGAACGAATTAAGTTCAAGATGTATAATATAGTAAATATTCTAACACCGCCACTACACGTTTACTATTTATATCATAGCAAATTATTTTATATGATCAATACATTACATTAGTTAAAATTAAATATACTAGTCGGTATAGTTACTAAGTTTAAAATTAAATTAATCAAATAATATTAAATATATCAATTATACAAACTGTTTGAATTTGTTAAAAATGTATAAAGTTGTACAAACAGTTGGTTTCTCATGTCACGTAATATAACCAGTGAGCGATATCAAAATTAAAATAATATTATACAAAAAGGATTTCGAATAAAATGTATATGTATTTAAAAAAAGAAAAACGAATTTCGCAGTGCAACTTTTTCAGCACCCGTTTAAAATTGGTTTTAAAAATAAAGGAGATATTTACACTGCAACATTTTTGAAACGTGAACCAACTAAGCGTTGTTTAAGTTGTTCCTGCTTTCAAGCAACATTTTCCTGCAAAATAATAGGGCGGTACAATGAAGTCTCGGATACCTATCAACAACGTAGCGCGCGCATTTTTGCATCACGTAAAAAATAAAAATAATTTCTGAATCTGTAAATTTTGTTTTAATCGTTCATATTTATACCTAATAACTATAGTAAATTATAGGTTATAGGCCGTGTGGTGGCGATGGCGGCGTATGAAAATCCTTTCCCCAATTTCGTCATATGGTTGTCGTAAATGACCACCGTAGGAAGTGCCAGAAAGAACTATTGGCTTATGATTAATGTCGGAATAACCATGGTCATACCGTGACGGTTAAGACATATGTCCTTCTTAGTAGGAAATAGGCCCGTATCCAACAGTGGTCTTTTCAAAATATATAGGGTGGTAAACTGTCTTTTTTTACTTCTCCATATAAATATATATATATATAGAATCTATTTACAGAATATGACCCTCTTCTTTTGGAACCTAAAGAGTCGCCCAAAAAAAATTATAAGAATTTAATACATTTACTTTGACCTCTCAATACATTTACGAAAATATAATGCATGTACATAAAAATAAAAGTAATTTAAAAAAAATAATAGTTTTTCTGTAAATACTAGGAAGAAGCACTAGTTAGTGATATTAGTTATCCGACTCCACCGACCTACTACTGAATCTCAGAAAATATACAAAATTTGACACCTCAAACTTCGATCAATGTTATTGATCGAAGACCTCAAAGTTCAGAAATAGAAATAGAAATAGAAACTTTTATATTCAATGTAGATTATAAAAATACTTATTGAAGGTCACTTTTTTAATTTACCACTGGTTCGCAAAAAAAAACCTCTGTCCTGGGAAGAACCAGCAAGAAACCCAGCGGGACTATTTTTTTCCAATAATAGCTTACAATCATGTTTACAATCAACAACACAAGACAAATTAGAAATAGCTTGGTAGCGATCACCCTTCCCAGGGGTTATTATCATCTATAAATTCCTTAATATTATAATAACCCCTTTTTATACAAACTTAGTTTAATAACATTTTTGAACTTTGTGTATGACAAATTTTGTATATTTTCTGGGATTTTGTTGTAAAAGCGTATACATCGCCCCAAGAATGAATTACTGACTCGGTGGAGTCGAGTAACTGGTACTACCAGCTTGTGTCTGTTCCTAGTATTTACAGAATGAATATCACTTATTTTCGCAAAACTACTTTTATTTTTGTGTACGTACATTACATTTTCATAAATGTATTGAGAGGCCAGAGTTAATATATTAATTTCTTTAAATTTTTGTCTCAGTGACTCTTTTGGTTTTAAATTATATATTGCTCTAATGGCCCTCTTCTGTAAAATAAATATAATTTCAGTGTCAGTCGCGTGTCCCCATAGCAAAATACCATACGACATAATGCTATGGAAATAACTGAAGTAAACTATTCTAGCTGTTTCAACATTGGTAAGAGTTCTAATCTTTTTTACAGAATATGCTGCAGAACTAAGTCTGCTAGTTAGTTTTGATATATGGGGGAGCCATTGAAGCTTTGCGTCCAGTGTGATTCCAAGAAAAATGGTGGTATCAACAAGACTCAGTTCCTCCCCATTTAAAATTACATTAGTATTGACATGTTTAACATTAGGAGTTACGAATTTCATACATTTAGTTTTAGTTCCATTCAAATGCAAATTATTAACATTAAACCAATTGAATAACTTAGCTATAGCATTATTTACTTCGTCGTAATTTAATAATAAGGTTCAAAACCTTTATCAAACAAAGATTGTATAAAAAGGGTTATTATAATATTAAAGAATTTATGGATGATAATAACCCCTGGGAATGAGGTGATCGCTACCAAGCTATTTCTAATTTGTTTTGTCTTGTTAATTGTGTAACATTTTGTATATTTATAAACTACCAGTGGTAAATCCAACAAGGAGTAACTTTCAATCAGTAATATTTATAATCTATATTGAATAAAATGTTTGTGTTTTTGATTCACAAAATCGTCCCTTTGAGGCTATCTATGGGAGAGACTCAAGTTCAGCAGTGGACTTTTATAGGCTGTAATGTATGAGTGTATAACTGTAAGTTTATATTGCTTCCCCAAGCTTTAAAATATATTTTACAAAAAAAAATGAACGTTATATTTGTCCACAGAACGATTCTGACGATGAACAATGTGCTCTAAGCGAACATTGGCAGTACGAAAGGAAGTCAAGAAGATGGTCAAGGGTGGTGGATATCACACCGCAAGCACAAAGGCGATTGCAAGTAAGATATTTTTGCTCATTAAAGTTACATAGTTCTTGTAATTTAGCATGACGTGGAACAAGCATGCGAGATAAATGTGCGCCAAGTGGAGATGTTGGAAAATCTGTCACCCAATTTCGGGTTGTAGGTGTCTTTATGGCATGGCCTACGTTAAATATAACCATCTCGTATATGTGAGAAGTATAAATACACAGTCCAGTGATGGAAAGCAGATATCACTTGTGCGAGATGATATCAAAATATATGACGAACAAGCAGTTCACCTGCAGGTTTATTATAAAACGGAAGTTAATCAAATTTACAGTCCACCTGATAAAAAGTGGCCACTGCACTGTGTCTATAGATCCATAGTCTAAGTGGTAGAGCCACGCTGCAGTTATATTAGTAGTATAGTTGTAGCACGAATGAATCGGCTCAACCGGGGAAGGCCCACGCTCTCACTGAATATCAGCGTAAAATAGAATCTTAATGCTGCAGTGTTTTGTATGGTGAGTGTAGAGAACCAGAGACCCCTTTTTAATGGAAACGAGGTATTTCATCTTAGTTCTCACGGGTGACAACGCATCTGCATTTTGATTCGTAATCGAGGATAGATGTAGATGTCTATGGGTCACAGCATCCAATTACCATCAGGTGGACTGTGTGCTCGTTTGTCACCCTATCCTATAAAAATTTTAGACACCTGCATCCAACTTCAAACAATAAAGACAACAGATGCATAGTCACCTTTGTGGACTAAGATAGCATGCCTAACACACTATTACTATACTCTCTTTATATTCTTCAGAACGCAACGAAGCACTTTTATGTGGTAGCAGAGATAGGTTAGAGCGTTAAACACGCACATCTATTCTCTTTCTCTATCAAAAATAAAATGCAGATTCATTGTCATCCCTGCGGTCCTTGCCCGGTCGAGACGACAAATTCGTGCTGAAGCTATTCCGCAGCGTGGCTTTTCTACGTTCTCTTTTTTATATGATATGGTGGCAAACAAGCATACACCCCACCTGATATTAAGTGTATTCTGTGGCCCATAGATATCTACATTTATTTATCCTCGATTGAGAATCAAAACACAGATGCGTTGTCACCCGTGAGGACTAAGATGGAATGCCTCGTTTCCAGTAAAAAGGGTCTCCGGTTCTCAACACTCACCATACGAAACACAGAAGAAATTCTCGCTATGCATTTAAGTAAGTAAAAATAATTTTCATAAGCATTCACGCATGTCACCCAGAGGGATAGGCAGAGAATATAAACTTCCCTTTGGCACGATACTAACACACCTCTCTCGCGTCCTTTACATTTATATGCCTGAGCATACATGCTCGTCGCTTAAGGGTATTCTTAATCTCTCCCATCTTCAATATATTAGGGGACAAGTCGCTTTCTTGTCGGTAGGCTTCGACCACCTAACCCTAGGCCGACTCAACACGTGTCCTCCGGGCAATGTTAAGCAAACGACAAAGCCGAAAGAACACACTCGGTTCTTTGCCGCGTGGTAGTGGCGTAAAATCTACCGCCCCATATTTCACAGCATAAGAGAAAAAATAAAGTCATCATCCTTGTGAAAGCCTTGCCAACCTGCCTATATGCATGATGATTCTCTAAGAAACCTTAAACTGGGATATAGAAATATGAGTTGATTTAAACAAAGAAATGTACACGGTCATCTGTTTTACTTTAAACTCCTATGCCACGAAAAGGATCAGTTTTGTGTACTTCTTTTATTTTCAAAGCTTAGTACGTTAGAGTAACATGGTAAACTAAGTCCATTTGTGATTTTCTATTTGCGGGACTGCTTTCCTGTCGCAGGATATTTAAAAAAAAAGATGGACTCCACTTTTATAATTTTTTCTAAACAACCTGTTACACATCCAGACCTGGAAGAATTATTAGTAGGACATTCAAATACTTGTTCTGCGTGAGATTCGAACTGTAATCATCGCATGTGGAAAGTGAATAGGTTTTCGAAGTATCAACTGTCACCAGTCATCACCAGCGCGGAGACGGGGCGGGTAGCAAGAACAATTGTAATAAAATACGCATTTTGTTGCCAAGAAAAAAGAAATAAATTTCTATTGATAAAGCTGATAGCCGTGTGTGATGTCCGTAACAAACTGCTATCAGCTTTTTTCAATAGGGCCGCTTTATATTGTTATCTCATGAATATTCAAACTCTGACCGACTTTTTCACATATACTTTATACGAAACGACGCTTAAAATGGAAATCATATAAAACTGTTATTTGTAACGAACTGAATACGAAATAGTATGATACGATATGTAATAAAGAATCGAAATTAAGTGTAAAGATCGTTTTTTTAGATTGACTTTATATGTGGTGGAGCTACACTGCAACTATATTATAGTTGTAGTACGAAATGGGTCGGCTTGATCAGGCAAAGACCACGCTCTCACAATATACCAGCTTTACGAGTAAATATCAGCTTAATGCTGTCGTATTTTGTTCTCAGGGGTAATAGCGCGTCTAAATTTTGATTCTTCATTGAGGATAGATGAATATGGGCTACGGCATTCCCTTATGAACAGGTAGATTGTTTGCTCGTTTGTCACATTTATTATATTGTAGCGAACCACATTGACTTCGCTTGGTTAGGATTTATAATTGTGGCGTTATTTATTTCATTAACTCATTGCTTTTTTTTTTTTTCAAATAAGCTCAAAGTTTTTCTAATTACCCATAACATAGATCACTCCTAGAATTGCTCTCCATCTGTTTATAAATATTCATTACAATCAGTTCAGTCATTATAAAGATTAACTTGGACAATTAGACACACATTCATGGCTTAATGGCATGCAAATAAAGCGTTTTATACATGGTAGAGCCATGCTGCAGTTATGTTAGTAGCGTAGTTCTATCACGAATGAGTCGACTCGATCGGGGAGGGATCACGCTCTCACAGAATACCAGCGTTAAATAGTAGCTTAATGCTGCTGTGTTTCTTTCGGTAAGTGTAGAGAACCAGATACTCTTTTTAAAAGAAACGAGGTATTCCATCTTAGCCCTCACGGGTGCAAAGCATCTGCATTTTGATTCGTAATCGAGGATCCATGTAGATGTCTATGGGCCACAGCAACCACTTACCATCAGGTGGACTGTGTGCTCGTTTGTCACCCTATCCTATAAAAAACCCTTCAACTCAATATACGGCAATTATTTCGACATTTCAGGCAGATACTTCGATTTATTTATGTGAACATAGATAAAAAAATTAAGGCAGTACAAACAGTATGATAATAAATATAAAATATCGTACTACTACAGTTAAGCGTTCACCTTAAAATTTCAATGATTGTGGAGAAACCGAGTTCAATCGCCGCCGGCGCCATTAAACTGCGTATTTTTAAGAGCTAATTAACTCGTTTGTCTTAAATGAAACGTCTAATGTGTATTGAAGAGCCGTGATGGCTCAGAAGTTAGGTGCTCGTAACTGCACACTTCGCAAGGTTCGATCCCCGCTGGCATCAGCGAAATTGTTGATTGTTGCAATTTTAAATTCAGATACACCGCTTGGCTGAGGAATAGAAATATTTCCAGGTCATTTCTTTTATAGAAGAGGGGACAAATCACGCCCCTCTAACCCCAAGGCTGTGTTTTATTTCGTTTTTTTTTTTTTTCTTTTTTTTTACTTTCCCTTTGTTTAAGTATTATGTTCAATAATGTTAACAGGTAATAGCAGCTCGAGCCTTAGCAGAGAGAGAGGCAAGGGAAGCTAGAGGAGAAGTGGAAGATGACGAAGACGAGACTCTACCCACTATCAGGGTTGGCCTCGTTGACGCTGATGGTCATTACACAGATGTCGAGCCTGATCTGTAAGTATTTTTCCTTCTTCTTATTTAACAGTTTTTCTTATTCTACTGGATGCCCTTTTTTACCGTCTGGACTAAAATTGGGTCTAACATGTGCACGGAGAAGCCTATGGTACTGATATTTTACAAAAAATTAATACAAAAATTTTGTGTTAAATAAATAATTAAATTAAAATCTATCGAAATTCAAACCATATCCACCCTACTTTAAACGGCAATAAAACAATAAACTTGGTAGGCATTTTTGACCTTGTCACTTCGCAGGGTCACAGAGTCAAGGGCAAGGGGTAGAGTAATTGTTCAAAAATTTTTTTCAAATGTTGAATTCAAAATTTTCGTTTCTACTTTTTGTAAAATATCAGTGCCATAGGCACCTGTATAGCTGGAACCTATGCCTTCCTAATATTGTGCGAGCTATGTGTGCTACATCCCATACTTCCTACTGTAAGTACAATTTGGAACTTGCATCTATGTATTTTTATCGGTATATTTCACCGCCATTTATCGTTCACCAATGCTTCATTCGCTGTTAAGTAGGATGCAATTTTTACGTGTTATAAGTCGTCTTTTTTAATTCCATAGAATTGGGGTGGAACAAAAATATTGCTTCATTTGGTGGCTAAGTATGAATCTTATGGTTTTGATTATTTGATTCGTTCTCTTCTTTCTTAATCGGTCCCTTCCAATCCACTGCCGGGCATAAGCCTCTACGATTGTTGGGATATTTGCCTCTACAATGGTGGGATATTTGCCCCACGCTTGGCAGGTGAATTGGCAATTGTAGTACCAGGTTTCACGTACCTTTGATGCAGTTCCCCGACGCCGACCTGGACGTAATGGATGGCTGGATGGTAACACCGCCAGCTATAGAAAGTTATGAGATCTGTTTTTTTTATCCACAATCCCACCTGGTGGTAAGTGGTGATGCAGCCCTAGATGGTAAATCCCACTGTCTTAGCGTAACAAAAGCCTATTCACTCTTGTCTTGAAGATTGTATTCGGACGGAAAAATAAACACCGGCAAATTATTCCACGCCTTTGCTGTATGCATTAGATTAGGTTACATTACATCTTTAGGACATTACACACAAACGAAACGAACGAATGAATTGAGGAGATAGTTTTACACGGCATAGAGATTTCCTATATTCGACAGAACTTGCAAAAAGTGCCACGATTAATGTTTGGATAGGTGATCACAGTTCACGAGATAATTATATAGCCATTCATCAGTCGTCAGCTCTTAAGTCAACCTCGTGATGCGATTGCCTATGGATACTCCTATCAGACTGTAACCGTTACAACCTACCAAAGTACACTGTTGAACATAGGTCTGCCCCATAGATTGCCTTATATATGGGGATATTTACCATACTTGCCACGCTTTGGCTGACGGATTGGCAACAGCTTTTTTTATTTTTTAGTTGTCATAAGAAGACGCTACATCCTATCTCCTATCTCTTGGTTTGTTTCCCTATGTTACCTCTTACGACACCCACGGGACGATATTGGACGATGCAAGGCTACACGCAATTTATTTTTAATACACTGAATAGAATTTATGCCAAATTATTTATAAATCATTATTCACATTCCATAATTGATATTCACGTACACCAATAAAAATTTCTAAGCCTCATTATAACAGTTTGAAATCAAAACAAATTGAATACAAAACACTAAATCAATCAACGATCGTACAAAAGAATTAATAAATTTCGTACGGAACAAAGAGTCTAATCATTGGAGCCATCGTGTTAATGAACAAGCAACTAGTAACTTGGATGCATCACTGATAATTGGCCCTCAATTGCGCAAGGGTTGATTGAAATGTTGGATACAAAAGGCTGGATCATACTTTTACATGCCATCCAGTACTGTGTGACCCCTCATTGACCTCTCGGTCTTGTTAGAGTTACGTCTTTAAGCTCGTGTCTTGTTGTTGCAAAGGTCGATCTAAAATGGCCACGTCAATTATTATCTTGAAACAGTCTTTAATTTTCACGCTCACAGAGCTCATACGTTCAGTTCGACACGTAATTGTAGACAAGATGCCTGTCAATTTTAATGGGCCGTCGGTAGTTTGTATTCTTTCTCACTTCCCTCTCCAAACACCAGTTTCATATCGGTTATAAGTGCCGTGTCGAAAGTTGATGCCACGTTTCTTTTTGAAATGTTATGAATAAAATCATTTTTATTAATGTTTTAATGATAGCTCCGATAACTTTTGATCTCTCTAAGTACAGCTCTGTCAGAAAAGTATAGTGAATTATTAAATAAAAAATTATTTTCGTTCAATCATCTATATTTTTACCGTGCAGTCAGTTCCGTGGGTGTAGCAAGAAAGCAAACTGACAGGAGATGAGCAGCAGCATCTTCCTGATAACAACTGAAAATAATTAAAAAACTGCAGTTGCCTACCCCTGCCAGGTGTGGTATGGTAACGCTTATAAAATTCCCACTGTAAAGCAATCTGGGAGGCCTATGTTCAACAGTGGACTTTTTTTTAAAGGTTGTAATAAAAAGATGGGTGAATGCTCCATATTTATCCTGGCACAAACAAAATAGATTTTATTAGGCACAAGACATAAAGTCACAGCCTATATATACGTCTTACTGCTGGACACAGGCTTTTTCTCATTTCTGAGGCGGTTTAGGGTAAGGAAATGTCCGCCGGGAGGTCGGGCTGGGACAGTCCAGTGCGTGTTGGCGAAATTCCACATGTCTTCGAATTTTTTTTTCTTATTGCTCAAGCATGCAGGTTTCCTCACGATATTTTCCTTCACCGGCGACCACGTGGTAAATCATTTAAATTGCAATTAACAATTTCGCCGACGGGGATCGAACCCGAGTTGCTCGCGTACTTTGAGCTACCACATAGACCTAGATATATATGGTGCAATTTTTTTTCCGATTCCATAAAGTCCATGTTTGACATGGGCTATTTTCGTTTTAAGTCGGATTTGCCTTAATCCTTGCCCGTGGCAGACGGATTGACGATCGCAGTAGGTACCTGTGGTAATACCACCTTACATTGGAAGCTTTAAGATTTTTTTTATACAATAAGGATGACAAACGAACACAAAGTAAAACTGATGGTAAGTGGCTGCTGTGGCCCATAGACATCTACATCTTTTCTCATTTACGAATCAAAATGCAGATGCGTTGTCTCCCCTGAGGACTAAGATGGAATGCCTCGTTTCTAGTAAAAGTTTTCTCCAGTCCTCTACACTTACTATACGAAATACAGCAGCATTAAGCTATTTTTATACGCTGGTATAGCGTTGTCCTTGCCCGGTCGAGCCGGTCGATAATATAGCTGCAGCGTGGCTATACCACGTAACATATTTGTGATGCTTCCTATAGTCGCTGATGATCTCTTCCGCCGCATCTCTGACGTGATTTTTTTTCGGTTTTGACATTGGCATTGTTTTAAATTCTCAAGTCTGTTGACTAGTTTGTATATTAAAATTCTCTAAAGATATCGGTTTGCAGTACTTTTTTTTAATTTTGTGACATGTCTCAATTCTATCTATGAAACAAATCCAATATTTTTCTTCGAAAATTAAAGTTTTTCCACGATCGACAGTCCTCCTTGAACACTGTGTAGCATTCGAGATCGTAACTTCACAACAGGAATTGAGCAAATTTTTATTATCCTTAAACCTAATTTTTACAATTGTATTCCCTATTTTATTATTTTTAGTCAAAATGCAACAGATGGCGTACGCATGTTACACCTTCGTCGTTCCTAATTTGCCAGTCTCTTACTATCAGATTATAATGCTGTTGTCTTTAAGGCAAAAGTGAATAGGTTTTATTAAAAAAAGTTAGTGCGTTTTACTTTCTTCCACTATGTATACAGTCAAGCTTTTAAATAGGAGAAAAATGCTGTCAAACTTTAACTTTCAATAACTAGTATCAAAAAAAGTATATCCTACTAACATTGTTATAAATTTAAATTTATAACAAATTAACTTCATATTTAAGATCGCTTTTGCCAAAGCTAATAAAAATATGTTATGTATATATAACAATTGAAATATTTGTCATAAAATGTTCAACATACATGAAAATATTGTTGCCAACGCTTAAATTTCATATACTCGTAGTATATGAAATTTAAGCGTGAATTTACAGGTGACATTATAAACAAGAGTGATGCTATGTTGGAGAATACTCCTTGAATCTCCGCATCGTTGCCTTCAAAGTCTGGCGTTATTTAACTTAGATATTACATGACTCTACATTGTACATAGTGAAAGTAAAGTAATGTAATGTATGCACGACACAAAATGTCTAGAAAATACAGTGTAGACGTGACAGATTGTCGTTGGGAAGATTAATTCAATAATAAGTCTAAAGAAATTGAAATGGGAAATCTGAAATAGTTTCTTATCTCATTTGCACTAACATATTTTATGATCTATTTAAATTATGTTATTATTTATATATTATTTTGAGACCTATTAAAACCTGTTCCCCGTTATTCATTATTTTCTCTACCCTTTTCCATTTTCTTTCATAACAAAGGAAGACAAACGCCAAATTTTAACACTATGTATAAACGTAATAAAGTATTCTTTTACATAATATTGTGTGGTTCGAAAACACTTTCAAGCAATAAATCAAAAATCAAAAGGGTCCATTCATTCAAACTCTATCAAATAAACATTGAATTCTAAGGTTCCCTTTATAAGAAACTGAAATGAGCCATTTCAAATTTTAAAAATCAAACTTATTTCAGTGATATATTTTTCAACTTTAGATTAAAAAAATTACGTTTGTCGAACGTGCCGAAAATTGATCAAGAAAACTGTAATATATACTAAAAAATTGGTCGGTTGAAGTAAGAAGCCACTTAAAAAGACCTCATGATTATCATATTAAAAATCACCATCAACACAAGTTGTAGATGGCAACATTTTTGATATAGCTTCAAGAGTCGATAAGGCTATAAGTCTCATGACTAATAACATAACACAAACATTATAGAAACACGC